TCAATAAGCACTTTGCGGCTGGAATTGGTGCCAAACATATGGTGGTTGAGGGCACTGTTGGCGGCGTTGATATTAATTACATGAAGTCAAATGTTGTCACTTTGGATACACGACAAGAGGTTTTCTCACACAAGAACTTCACTCAAAACACTGTTTTCGTCTCAGATTTAATCAGCGATTTGTTGAATGGCATTAAAATGCGCGAATTTGGTCCCAATGTTATACTGAAGAATCAAAAGGGGATAATTGTTCGCGGTTTTAAGACATTCAATGGCAGTGTAATACTCAGATCAGATCTGAATCTTAGCGGAACTGTTAATGGCATTAATGTCGTCGACTTAGCCCGAAGAGTAGTGTCGAGAACTAGGAATAACGTGATTCTGGCGCCAATGACTTTTGTCAATGATCTTCATTTAAGACATCTTACGCTGCGATCGCCGGCGACTATTGACGGCTTGAGACCGAATGAGTTGGCATTTGTCGGCAATAATCTGCTATTGAGTGGCAATAATCGGTTCAATCAGACTGTGTCCGCACTGACAGACATTTTTGTTGGCAAAACTATCAATGGATGCGATTTACGAGATCTGGNGGCAATAATCGGTTCAATCAGACTGTGTCCGCACTGACAGACATTTTTGTTGGCAAAACTATCAATGGATGCGATTTACGAGATCTGGAGAGGAATGCTGTCCTACGCGACTCCATCAGTCACTTCCAGAGCCTTCGCGGCGCCAAAGAGTTTGACAGTTTGAATGTCTTGGGAAACGTTATGATTGAGGGCCCCATAAATGGTGTCGACTTTAACCGATTAGTCTCGCAGATAGTGAGCCGAACGGACGCTCAAGTGATCAGAGCTCCGGTTACTTTCGAGAACGATGTGGTGGTCGAGCATCTGATCCTAAGAAATGTTATAAATGGAAGGAATTTGACTTTTATATTGAACGACGCGGTCCTGAAGACAATGCCTCAAACAATTGTCTCGAAAAAGGATTTTTCTGGACCCCCTTTGATGGCCAACGGATCCCGTACTCAAGTGGACGGCGCTGTTAACGTGAAAGGACTGATAAACGGAGTAAACATCGTGACACTCGATCAGACAACAGTGAAACAGGGCTCGACTGGTCCGTCGGCAACTCAGAGACCAATTACTGGCGTCAAGACATTGGCCGGAAGAGTGACTTTCAAGAGGGACGCGTTCATCGGCGGTTCACTCAGCGGAATCTCATTCCCAAATGATGTGATTCTTGTCAACACTAATGAATCGATCGCTGGAGTGACGCGATTCCAGCGCTGGATCTCTGGCCTAAGAGGTCTGTTTGTCAACGGACTGATCGATGGCATCAATTTGACTCACTTTGTCGCCAATCGGCTCACTCTCGATGGCGACAGAGAGTTGATTCAATCGGCGCTTCACTTCACAAATAGAGTGACTGTCGATAACTTAGTCGTCAGGAAAACAATCAATAATATACCGGTCGACGCGTTTGTCACCACTAAAGGCAGATATTTGATCACCGGTTCCAAGACTTTTGCCTCCGATCTGTTTGTCAGAGGAAATATTCAATCGCCGGGTGTTTACAATGGCATCAATATTCATAATCTCGTCAACAGAGCTGTCAGTCTAACAAAGCCTGAGTTTATCACAGGAAACACTGAGTTTATACAACCCGTGTCTATGAGTCAAATGCATATCAATGGGCGCCTAAATGGATACGATATATCAGATATGGCCAACTTCTTCGGCAAACTTACTACAGAAGTGGACAAACATTTGGACGCAATTGGACTGCAGTTGAGAAGACAGGGAAAGACACTCGAGGCTCAGTTCGCAGCTCTTAATAAGGATCGCTCTTCTGGTAAAAAAAATACTTAAACTTTTAGTAAAACTTTTTATAAGTTTGTTTTAAACTTACAACTTTTATCATATTAGTTATAAAATAAGTATTTGAATACTTTAAACAATTATTTTTATATAATTTTGTGCTTAAATATAGGAATCGATCACTTTTTCCTAACGCAAGAGATCTACGAATCGGATCCGAGATTATTGAACAAATCGCCGCCGCGTCTAAACTCGCGGCTCTCATCCCAACCGAGTGCTAA